AAAATGCTAGATCTAGCCGTGAACGATCGCAAAAGGCGTCGTCGTTGACAGCTAGATCGACGAATTACCAACAAGTTTCGATCGTTTGTATGCCGTTGTGACAGATTTTAGCTACCACCGACGGTGATTGCTAGAATTTGGCAACTATGGGTGGTGGAGGTGTTTTTATTAATTTTTAAACTTTTTTTTTTCTGAGGGTGTTTAATTAAATTAATAAATTTAAGGAGCCTAAAATAATTAAATATAATATAATAATATTTCTAAATATAATATAATATTTTAAGAATTGGATCGGGAATAAAGTATGAAATAATAAATCAAATGCACCCTTAATAATCATATTATAGTATATTAGCCACGATGAAAGGATAAAAGGAGTAAAGGACCCATGAAATACTGACAAATTTTAAATGTATAAAAGCAGTGATTTAAATAAATTAATAAATTCCGCCGAATAGAGGGAAAACATAAAGCCATTAACCACGGTAGAGTTGACAAATGGAAATTAATAGTGCTACTACAATACAAATATACATTACATTTTTCTGAAAGAGTGATGAGGCAGTAAGAAAACGATTGATTAGTAAAGTTGAAAACAGTCCTACCACTGTAGACTAAAGCATAAAGGTTAAGCATGGCCTCCATACTTTTCATCTTGAGTAGCAGCAGTAGAAGAAACATAATATGCAACACAGAATAAACCATGAACAAAACACAGAATCCCTCCAATTGATAGAAAATGATGGTGTGTGAACCCACAGGAAGCTTTTGATTTGTTGTTTGACATTGTTCCTATCACCAACATTGACAATCCAACGGCTAATATGATCCTGATGAATATTAATCACAAAATATTCAATACATATTCATAGTAATCACTTAATCAGACAAGTCCATGTCAAAGACATACCAAGAGAAGAGGAGGCAGGCCAAGGAGAGTTGCCTGTTAGGCGAAGCTTTTGAAAACTCATCTTGAGAACAAATGCACATGCACCCACCAAGTAAATTAGAAATTACATGAGCTAAAACCAGAAGTACTCCTGCAATTAACCCTAGCATGAAAGCATCATGGCTTGGATCTCTACACTCAAATATCCAGAGCCGCATATGGTTAACCTGTATAAAACAAGTGCACACGAATAAACATATAACCTTTTCTTTAATGAACATTTTACAGGATAACCGTATAAATATACCTTGTTTTGTGCAACTTCGGCTTGGATGCCAAGAATCCCTGCAGCCACATCCATGGCAACGATTAACAGACAAACGAAGACTCCTCCTACTTTAACCATTTTTGAGAAAATAAATGGGAAATTAACAGAAAGAAGAAGAAATTATGAAGGAAATGGTGTAGTGTGTGAATGAGAATGAAAAGGAAATTAGGAAAGGGTATGAAGAATAAGAGTAAGAAAGGAAGTATAAGTAGTAGGTAAAAGTTTCTTTGTCGAACACAGTAGAAACTTTAAATTTGCTTAGATAGTCTACTTTATCTTCTATCATGGTCTTGGATTCCTTTGATGGGATAGCAAGGAAAGTAGGGTATAAACCAGCTCATGGAGGAGCGTGCACAGGCATCTACCAAGGTGGGTAAGGCTTATTAAGGAATAAAATTTTATTATAATATTAGCTTTCGTTATTATAATATTATTTTTCTTTATATTTTTTATTAACTGGTTGTTAAGATGATTGTATTTTTTTATATTTTTGGTTAATTTCATTATTGCATTTTTTTATATAGAATATGTTGAAACTATATATTATATACTTTTATTAATATTGAATATACAATTATTTATACAATTTATTCAAGGTTTTCTTTTTAAAGTTTATATATATATATATCCAAAATATTATTTTTGTAATCTTTCTACATTATATATAGAAGCTTTAATTCAATGTATATGTGAGTGAATGTTGAATGACATTAACTCTTGGGGTTCTTGTCTTTTTCTCTACAGAAAAAAAATTTATTTTTAAAACAATGATTTTCAACTTGAAACAAATTAGGAATCCGAAGAAATTTCAATTGAATTATGAATTTTAATTTGAATTAAATTGATTGTGTATCATCAAACTAAGATGCATCAAGAGAAACAAAGACTTTGGTGAAAATGATGGGAGTACAGTGAGACCAATCCACGTAGTCTAGGAAAGGAAACAAGTGGACCCAAAAATCAACAATATCTGAAATCAAAAGACAAACATTTCAAACTCAAATTCGGTGGATCAGTATCCTTATCCCATGCATATTTCAAACATTCTCACGTGTAAGTTCACACCAACTACACGCTGGAGGGTATAGTTTTAGGTATTAATGATGACGCATCACTTTGACAACATATTTTAAAACTTATTTATTAAGTTTAAATACTAGTATATAAAATATTGTTGAAGCATAATTAACCAAAATCCTTACAAATTTGATTATATTGTAGTATAACTCTTGTATTAAGTGGGCTCTCAGTTAGTCTTACACCGATCATAATAAATTGGCAATAGTTTGGTGGTGCAAAATCCCATTCAAAATTGCATCAAAAACTTCAATCTCTATGATAGATTTAAGACAAGTCGTATTAATCGTTATCACCGACTGTGTTTTGCTATGTTTGATCAAAATTAAATGTTCAGAGAGATACAAAATTGGACCAAAATAGGCCTTTGGGCTTTGAATTGACAGATCAAAGACTTATCATAATGTCGTACAAAAGAAGATGAACAAAGATCATAGATTTCTCCTTCTGGTATATTTCTGTGGATGATGGGCAAAGAGATTGAAGCAGGAATTATGATTTGTATATAAATGGGAAGTGAGAACTGAGGAGCAGTTTTTATTAGTGAAAATGATGGGCACGTGCAAGAGCAAGTGCCCAAAACTGGCGTTACATTAATTTTAAGCAAAACCCCATCATCAAACCAAAATCAACCATCAGCAAAAACTGAAAATTCCTTACTCTACTGTTCATCTTTTAACACTCAAAATACTCTTAAAACGTACAACAAAGCTACGGACATCGGTATTTTTGCACTAAAAATGTGTACCGACCTACGTGTCCCCTAACTCACACTGGCCTACGTGTACCTTCTCAACTTAAAATGCTATAATTGTTGAGTCATGCTTTTTATGGCATCTAAGTCGAATATGCAATAGTCGAGAGGATTTACATGATCGCGACAAAGTGAATAGATAGGCAGCATGTAAGATGCCATAGTTAAGTCATGCATGAAAATTTTCTGAGAAGCTGTGGTGGTATTGTGCACCAAAGATGGAAGGGAAGCTGGGATTTATGGACCGCCGTCCAAATTTTTTCTTTAGTTTTGTAAAACCAAAATAAAGTAAGGGACGGTCGTCCATAATTTGTGGACGGGCGTCCCCAAAGTTTTTTTTTTTTTTTTTTAATTTTCATAATTTGGTTAATGACGGGCGTCCTTTATTTGCGGGTACTCGTTCAAAATGAATGGACAGCCGTCCATAACGGATGAACGACAGTTCCTAAATATTTTTTAATTTTTTTAAAAGAATTGTTAATGGACGGGCGTCCATTAAAATATGAACGTCCATCCAATATTTAGTAATTTTTATAAAAAAAAATTATTCAATTTTACTTATGGACGAGTGTCCTTTAAATGGGGATGTCCGTCCGTAGTAAATGGACCCCCGTCCATATAATATGGATGGGAGTCCATGTAAGTGAACGGCCATCTATATTTGATGAACGACCGTTCACTAGAAAAATATTTAATAACGCATCTGGATTGCTGGTGTGAGTCAAGGGACACGTAGGTTGGTACACATTTTCGGTGCAAAAATGCCGGTGTTCGTAGCTTTGTTGTAAAACGTAACATATGTAATATCTCTCTAACTCTACACATATGGAATAATATATCAATTTCATTTTCATGTCCATACGTACTTTAATAAGCCAAAAAAAAAAAAAACAAAAACACAACCTGCATTAAAACCTTTGCGTTGGCAAGTTTGTTCGTCAAAATCAACTGCTCCAAAGACAAAACACAAAACCCTTTTGAATAAAGCATGGCTTGTGCCACCGGAGAGTTAACCAATACCTGTAAAAGTTGCTGCCTGTTCAACATCTCCAACCCACCAAGACCTCCAAAACGATACCCATCCAACTCGTTTTGAAGAGCAAGTGGCATTGATTGGAGAGTGTTAACTTGAGTTTGCAAGAATCGAACATACTTATAGGCCTCTTCAAGCGTGGTAGCAGTCTCCATTTTCTTCTCGCATGGCATCAGCTTTTGCAAGCACCGAACCTTGTCGCTGATGTTTTGTCGACGCTGACGAGCCAACTCACGTTGCGGTTGAACGGGAGGTGAGAGTACGTGATTGAGACAGACGGAGGAGTCGAAACGAGGACGTTTTCGAGACGATGAGGGAGAGGAAGAAGAGTTATTTGATTGCAGATGTTGATTGGATGTGACGGAGCCAACTCTGTGCTTGCTGATTTTCTTGAGTTGAATCCCAGGAAGCTTCACCCTTCAAGTGGAGTGAGAGGATTTACATATTTACCAAATGGCCATGGATTTGCCCCTGAGTTACTCCGAACTATTAGAGATAAAACTATGTCTGGGGTAGCTCCGGTCAATGATAATCTGCTTTTCTGGTTCGTAAATCACCAATACAATTATCAGGGTATGTACTTATATATGACTTTAATTAAGCTTTTAAATATCGGTTTATTTAATGATAAATGTATACCTTTTAATAAAAAAATTATGTAGTATGGGCTTTTTTTTTTTCTGTCCATTTTCATTATTGGATTGAAGATCAGGTAAAATAGAAATCCGACTAATTTTAGAGAGAATAGTGGTAAATAGGAATTTTTTTCATTTATTACATAAGCTTGTTTCATTAACTTTCTTAATCATTATTGTCTTGTTAACTACAGATTCAAAGATGCTTGAAGATCCAAAGATGATCAAACAAACGGTTCTAGACTAAAGCATAAAGGTTAAGCATGGCCTCCATACTTTTCATCTTAAGTAGCAGCAGTAGAAGAAACATAATATGCAACACAGAATAAGCCATGAACAAAACAAAGAATCCCTCCAATTGATAGAAAATGACGGTGTGTGAACCCACAGGAAGCTTTTGATTTGTTGTTTGACATTGTTCCTATCACCAACATTGACAATCCAACGGCTACTATGATCCTGATGAATATTAATCACAAAATATTCAATACATATTCATAGTAATCACTTAATCAAACAAGTCCATGTCAAAGACATACCAAGAGAAGAGGAGGCACGCCAAGGAGAGTTGCCTGCAAGGGGAAGCTTGAGAACAAATGCACATGCACCCACCTAGTAAATTAGAAATTACATGAGCTAAAACCAGAAGTACTCCTGCAATTAACCCTAGCATGAAAGCATCATGGCTTGGATTTCTACACTCAAATATCCAGAGCCGCATATGGTTAACCTGTATAAAACAAGTGCATACGAATAAACATATAACCTTTTCTTTAATGAACATTTTACAGGATAACCGTATAAATATACCTTGTCTTGTGCAACTTCGGCTTGGATGCCAAGAATCCCTGCAGCCACATCCATGGCAACGATTAACAGACAAACGAAGACTCCTCCTACTTTAACCATTTTTGAGAAAATAAATGGGAAATTAACAGAAAGAAGAAGAAATTATGAAGGAAATGGTGGAGTGTGTGAATGAGAATGAAAAGGAAATTAGGAAAGGGTATGAAGAATAAGAGTAAGAAAGGAAGTATAAGTAGTAGGTAGGAGGAGCGTGCACAGGCATGTACCAAGTGCTTCAAAGATTAATCGGTGGGTAAGGTTTATTAAGGAATAAAATCATTTTGATTTTGTTTCCTTATTATCATGATTATTATAATTGTATGGGCAAAAAATCATCTTGGGTCTGACGAGGCCCAATAATGAAACAAACATATCACGACTCAAAGCCTTAGCCCAATTCTGATTGGGCATACGCTTAAATTCACATTGTGAATTGCCCATTCTACGAGTTGGGCTATCCCACAAGTTAAGCTAAACCGAGTTTTGACCCATTAGTTTACAGCAGTCCACAAATAGGATATCAGAATCCCATTCTATTTCCTCTTCTGCTAAGATTTTGAATCTTACTCAAAGTAATAAACTTAATCTAATGAAGGCAAGAAATCATATTTCTTTCCTGATAGGGATTATCTACCAAAATAAGACTCAGTGTCTTACTAGGACTCTAACCCCTTAGGTTCACTATAAAAACAGAGGCCTACCCTCTCATTATTCAATCAATCTTCAATATTCAATCTCTACTACTTAAAATCACCTCCTTACTCCTAAATTCTTGCTCTCGAGAATTCTACACCTTCGTTGTAATCTTGGCCTCCGGCGAGACTCTCGGTAACTCTTATTTCCATTAATTCTTATTAAATAATCTCTTTCAGCCTTGCTGACTTGAGCGTTTGAGTGCCTATGGCAAACACCACCCTGGTGTTTCCCGTAAGTTTCATGCTTGTCTTTTCGTGTGTGCAGGTCTAGCGGATTGTCAGTGACCTCTACCTCGCGGGATCAGACCTTATTTCTGTAATGATGGATTTTTTGCATCTACAGTTTGATGTCCACTGTGGGACCTTGACAATCATCTACCAATGACGACTTGCAACATGAGAAGAGGCACGAAGCTCCCTCCAATTGACATTGTTAATCAGAAAGTTTTCATCACAATAAGAAAGTTTTTACTTTAATTTTCTTCATTTTAAATCTATTGAAAATATCTATGAATCATTCACATAAAACATAATATTTTGAAGCATTAAAACGCATCTCTCATATTTATTATCTTTTACTTATATTCAAATTATTTTATTGTACTTGTGAGAAACTACATGAGCTACTGAAGGCCTTGTAGTTGTATCACTCAACTCCCTTCTTGCCTGCTTGTGAGTTTAATTAAGTGCCTTTCTGTGTGCTAGTGGTCATCTTCGAATTATTATTGTTTTCTTAAATAAAAAAATATTCTTGGGCTAGCATAAGATCTGTGGAGTGAAGCTTATCATTTCAATACCTTGATGCATTATCCGTGTTATTTTATCTGCGTAGTCTGAGTTCTTGATCCTTATAAATTCATTCTCTATTAAATTGGGGATTTTATTGTTATTAAGAACTCGCTGTTTTCATTTATAAAATACTCCTTCTTTACATTGTACTATTACTGTTTTGTGGGCAAACATTAAATTAGGAATGAGTGTCATTCATTCTTGTCTTCATAACCTACTGCATATTTAAGCAATTATTATCAAAGTTGAGTAGACAAGCATTGATATTAGCTCTACATCAGATAGCCCAGTTGCATTGTTTAATGCATGAGCATGTGCAACTTCTTATTCAAGTATTTTCACTTTCTATTCTTGATCCTTCTCACCAATAAACTACCTCCCATGTTCAACAATTGATTTTTGAGATGCTCCACAAACGTGATAAAATACAGTCCTCCAATTTTGCCTAGAACAAAGCACCTTTGATTTATCTTCTCAAACTTTAAAGGGTTATTTTTGGGTGTCATCAGCTCCAATAGTTATCCCACAGAGGAATCAACCCCTGGACATTTTGTTTGATTCACTGATGTCACCCCTGAGCATTCTGTCTGCTTCACTGATATCTCAACACTCCAACACTGCTATGAAGTTTTACTTCAGCCCCTCACAGAGGGATCGATCACTGAGAGTTTTGTTCATACCAAATGGATGCTTTATAGTGGGACAAATATCAAAACTAGATCAAGAATCTTTAAGGGAAAATCACAGGTGTCTTTTCTTGCTTATCACATTCTCCAACCCTTACACTACATCTCCCACTAATCAATTTTTAAGTTGTCATTTTAGCTCTCTCCTGCATGTTTTTCCCTTCCAAGATCTATTCAATTCTCATAATTTCTATTGAAATCTTCACAACTACGTGCTGAAGTTGCTACTTGGACTATATATCTACACCTCATTCTAGGCGTACTCTCTCATGGTTTGAACTAAACTACAACCTCGCTCAAATTCTGTATTTTTAACCTTCATTGCACCGACTACTCTGCCCACATGGCAACTTTCTGTCTTTCTTTTTTAAGAAGCAATGCTCACGCACTCTCCCTCTCATTTATTTATTTTAACATTTTTAATAGTAACGGTTTCGGCTTTAAAGACTTTCGGCTTTGTCTCATCCAACTCCTTTTGTAATAGTTAAACGTGTTCCTCCTCCTCGTTTAGCATAGTCTACTTGAATAAAGTTGTTCTTCTTTACTGCTGATGATCACTTTAAGCCCTCACACTCCCTGCAGCTTGTAAATTCTCTGCCCAGTCTGCTGCCACTAAGTTGTTTCTTTCTCCTACTGATGCACCTATTGGCATTCCCGTAAACAATTGCAAAGCTTACTCCTACGTTGGCCATATTTACCATTCGGCTCATACAGATTTCATTCGGCCCCTGTGGATCTCATTTGGCTCCGCAAAACCCACTCAGCCTACTGAGTGGATTCGTGCAAGGGTCTATTCGACTACACCCAAGATGTTCACCAACAGGACCCAATGCCTAGAGGCGCCATCAAATGTTCACTTGAGTAATCAACAAAGTTTCTCTCTCCTTGACTCGGTTCACTCAGGTGCAAGCAAAATTTTTCAAGTAGTGACAATTCCACCTCAGCTCCAACAGGCTCAAGCACATGTCGCCAAAAACTTTTGCTTATTTTTGTTTCTTCGTTTAAGTTTACTCCCCAGTCGGCCATACACGTCCATTCAGATCTTTGCGAGTTCATTCACTTAGCTTCTCATTTCTTGGCTTCTGCTAGATTTTCAATCCCCTCTAGTTTATCATTTTCACACACTATTCAAAGTTCAACGTCTACAACTTCTCAACCTTCGCTCGCATCGTCCTCCTCACGCCACTTTCTCAACCTTCATTTAGCTTCAGTGATGCTGCTTCAGCTTCTCTTGTTGCCACAATCCCCAGCACACCTGCCTCAAAGCTCCCCTTCACTGCCTTTTGGTGCCACATCTTTAGTGCCATTGTTCTCTACCACCATTACCACCACTACTTCCACCTCTACAAGCATAGTCTGTAACAGAACTCAACTCTACCATCTCTTTCATTTCCTGGAAATCTAGAGATGACCTTACGTCTAAAGCAGCAACTTGGATGTTAAGAATACAACTGAAGGCTGGGGCATGATCTATGCTTGTGGTTTCTTCTCCAGATACATCCCCGCTTGAACCTAGACTATCCTTGCTTGTAAGATCAGTTTCCTCTATTTTTTGCTGGAGGCACTTTCATCAAATAGTATGGGAAACCACCCTCACAAGTGCAAAAACGTGGCATCCACGCTTAGTGTCAAATGGTTTGAGACTCCTCCCACTAATCAAAGTTGAACTCAAGCAACCATAACAAAGTTAAGTCTCATTCAGCCAACATGAAAAACAACCGAATAATGCCATGATAAATTCGCCAATTTCAAAGAATCCCCATGCTACTCGACTCACCGGCGAGAAAGGAGATATCACCATTCGTGGGACACGCCCCTCCTAGCCAACATCTCCGTTCGGGTAAATGATCCTTGCCGAGTAGTATCACAAGACACTCCTTGCATGAACACGAAACTGTCTTGAGATCGTTCAACTTAGCTCGATATCGAAGTATGAAGGCTCCGGTGTCAACCACCCACTTGGCTGTGTGAGCCTAGTCGAGTAGGCCTGTTCAAGCTCACTCATACAACTCTTACATGAGTGACAGAATTGATTTTGTTTGGTCCAAAGCACTAAAAAGAACCATTCGCCCATAAGCAAGTGGTATATTCACACCACCTTCTCAAAAGCTAGTCAAATGATCCACTCGGTTCAACAAACATAGGTAGCAGCACTTGAAAAGGAAAAGGTATGTCTTATTATCACCTTTTAACTAACACTCCGTTTGGTTTATTTTTCCTCCATTCAACTCATTACTTAGACACATGCACCCCATGCATTTTACTTTTCCATTTAGCTCATTCTTCATTTGGTCCATGACACATGCACATCACCTCTCCATTTGACTCATTGCATATCACATGCATATTGTGCATGATATCACTAAAAATTCTTAAAATCATGTTAAGCTATCCACTCGGCTCCACTTGGTAGACCGACTAGGAGTATATGGTAGTGGGATACAAATGGCGACACCCATATGTTCACTCAGCATGGTTAGGTTCACTCATTACATTAGCATTTGGAAAAAACTCCACTCGGTCCAGGTTCACATTGAATCACTATCACCTAGCTCGACCTTCCACGTGAATCTTCTACTCGAATTGCTATGCACCACATAAAATGGATTTCAAGGCTAGATTAAATCCCCTTTCGGCTCCAGATAAGTTGAACACTTGTTTTCTTCATTCGGCTTCAACCAACAAATGGGAATACATAAGCACTATTTGGCTTGGCCTCATCACCATAGACTTCAATGACATGCTCCATTTCTCTCATTCTTCTCCAATCACGAATCTTTCACTCCACTCAGTCAACTCCATGTGACCCTCAACAGCCCCATATGCACAATCTCTAGCTTTAAAGAAAAAGCTTCATACAAGCTCCACTCAGCATACACAGTCTACTTATCAACATAAGCAGAGCCGAGCCGAGCCAAGCTGAGCCGAGCCGAGCCGAGTGGGAGGCACACATCACCATCTTGAAGTGACTTC